TTCTACTACTATTTCGCCATTGTTCCTATGTGTCGCCAACTGCTCCACACGACTGGTGATAGTCAACTTGCATTGAGACAATTAGTTTTTGGCAGCTGTACAGATATTAACTACGTTACGTTTAGCCTTTGAAATGTTTGCCGCTGGCTAACTCGATAAGCCGCCGTAGATGTCCTTTGACCTGATGTAAGACCTATGAAGCGCAAGTGAAGAAGTATCGAAAATGTGATTCGTTCCTTGAACTAGGTATGGCTTCCATCCGTTACTGAATGCAGTACGATATATATAAGGTACGCAGCTCTCCTTTAAGGACCTGTTCAGGCATCCGATGATTCAATAGACACTTGGCGGTAAGCCGAGCACAAAGCTAGATTGCAGCAATGAATAATTGTGACGAGTAAATTTAAAGACGAAGCCATCTATATGTGACATCTGAAGATGATTAGGATTTTTAGTGATGCTCTACTTGTGTGCGGGTGCAACTTTGTGTATATAGCACATTAGAGGCCTTGAAGTCGACTCGCAAATGTAGACTAGTCAAATTATAGCTGTGAAGATTTTCCAGTTTTATATTCTACTCTTACCCCTGCTACTAATATATGTCTATCTGATAGGCGCGTTTGTGCTATGTATGCTAAATCCGTTAGATAGTGCCTCAACGGTTTCCGTCTGCGACGAACGAGGGCCCGAACGTGTGTCAGTGACTTTGTGGCTGCTTCCGTCTGATTATTTTTCTTTCTTTACTTATCTATGCAGCAAATACTTGAATGCGGCGTGATTCGTGTTCGTGTTTGCCTGCCTATATCGCCCCCTCCCTCGCTCGTGTGCCTTTACCTATATGCCTAAGCGTGACGCTCGCTACCTTCAGAAGATCGCACCGTACTTGTACGCTGTGTTCATCTATTGTGAGTGGCGATCATTAAAAAACGATCCGAAGCGAGGTTTTTATGATGGCAGCACCAGCAGCTGCCACCGTTGCTGCAACTGTTCTATTTGGAATTGGAGTTTTGGATCGATTATCCAAGAGGTACGAAGACGAATAGGGATCTTGCGTTTCATTGTTATCGATGCTGCTGCTGCTGCTGCTGCGAATGATCGTATTGGTCTGCAGTGAGATTGTTGTATAGTGCAGCTCGTCCTTGGTGCTGCTTCTACACGTACACCTGTATCACGTCAATTTACTGTTATTATCGTTGCTATGGTAGCATAGTCTAACAGCCCACTAGGAGCCCAAAGGAGCGGCTACGCGAAAAAAGAAGCGTATGTAAAGCTTTTGTTGAAACACTACTACATTAACTACCGTTAATGTAACTACTTACACTGCTGTTATTGCTAACACGCGCCATCTGTTAACATGGCGCAAGCAGTTAATCAATCGACTAATGAACCTGGCAACGCTTCGATGCTGATTTACCGGTCGCTAGAAAATGTCGTTGATTGCAACCGACCGACGTTGACACACAAAGACAACAATCCGCACCAGCAATAGCAACAAACAACAAAACAGCTGACACAACAACGTAAACAGCGTTCGTGTTTCGGCAAACAAAAACATAAATCAGCTAGTAGGGGCTACGCGACATCGACAAGTAAATTGTAGATATAAAGTTCAACGGGACGAGTTTCAACGAAACGAGACAGACTAATTTCGATATGGGTTAATATCGGCTGCGACTATATACAGTAAGAATAGCAAGAGCAATGGGGCACGACGCGACGTCAGTTAGCCAACTTGCTGGTGGGGCGGCTAATTCTTGCAGTTTCGGTGTAGCGCGACATTGTCTATTCATCCGCCGGAGCTTTGTTGTTTATTGCTTAGTAAAGAGTGATTCTGTTAGCTGTCTGCCGCCGCCTATCTTTGTGATCGACTTGTGCATCTGCAAGGCAGGAGGACAAGCAAATCCTACACTCAGAATATTCGGAGGTAACTATATATGCGTTAATATGCCTGTGCTCATCGATAGGTAATAACCAGCTGGACCACGACATCAGGGAGTCTACAAAAATCTTGGCATTGCGCCATGATGACAAAAGTGGCGGCTGTTGTTTCCATATAGAGTATTCGCCGATAAAATGTAATGAGCAAAAGTGTCTACATATCGCTGCCGTTACCGCCTCCATAACTGCTTTGCAATCCCCTACCAGCACCTACTTTACCCTATAGGCTCTGAACCGACGCCCAAATTTACTTCCATAATAAATCATTAACCACTGCTATCCGCCGGCCTTCTAGATAACTGCTACGTAATAAGACAACACATTAGTTGATAACCAAGCACAGAGCCACAAAGATACTTGCGTTGCTTTTGATTTCGCCGGCATGTAAAAAATCTAAGTTAGCGATTGTGAATTTCCGAATTAATTCAGTCTACTTATTATACGGCCTTAACTTCCATATATGAACGCCACTTTAAAGTTTACCTTTGTCTGTTTTTCTCTCATTGAAACCGGAATTAATGGCCAGTATGTCTATCTCCTTGTACCGTAGTCTTCTAGTTCTGTTTCAGTGGCAATATACATATATAAGTGGTGCAGAACAGCACCTATGCCATAGGATAGAATATAATATCACAGCATAATGTATGCATGCACTATGGTACCGATTACGTAAACGATATCGAACCCCGTCACAGTCAACGTTACGTTGCTTTACAACGACTGGCCTTTGCCTACCTGCTGCCACTGCGTATGAACACCACTGGAATAATTTGCCAGCCAGGCGCTTGGTTCAAAATCAAGTTGCTTCATATTGGATGGCTCGAAGCGCGTCTGCCAGATTGTCTAAATAGAGCGGTTGAATATATAGTGTTTCTTTTGCTGTACCTATCGTTGGCGGCGGCACGCACTGCTACATCTGGTGCTTTATTGCAGTGTGGATCCATCTTTCTGGCAGAGTCGATACCAGCGGCAGTAACAGTAGCTACCAGCCACAGCAGCTTTTGCAAGCAGTTCCGGGCTAAAGTGACAATAGTCGACGAACAGACGCAGGTACTGCAGTATCGCTTTCTGCTATTACTACTGCCGGCTTGAATTGTTCAAGGAGCGCCGATCGTCTGTAACCAGCAATAACAATAACAACGGAAGCAACAGCAACAACGACAACAACTGAAAAGGGTCCGCAGCGTACGGGATCTTCGTGCCAGTTGTCGCAACGGATAGAAGCGCCATCTGCAATAACAGCAATATCGACAAGCCGATGACAACGCGGCAGCAGCAGCAGCAGCAGCAGCAAGATGGTAAAGCCACACGACGTATCGAGTTGCCGTGCCTCAGAAAAACGAAAAGAGCAGCGCTAACGAAAAGTGGTGGCAAACCTGCAGTATTGCATGACCGCAACGGCATAGCCAATAGTGATGGCGGTAAACGACGGCCTGCGTTGTCGATGCTACTGTCTGTTATTGAAGACTGTCTGCTTCCTGTCGTCTGCTTGTTACGGTAAACGACTGTAAGTATGGCTCTAGCGTCTGTCGATGGTTGGAGGAGGCGGTAGCTGTTGCTGATCTGGCCGTGCTTATAATACAGCTGTGCTAATGGCCGGTCTGGCCGATATCTGCGTTGGCAACAGTGCACTATCAGATCAAGAACCGTGGGCGGCAGCCAGTCAACGAACGGTTTAACACACGGATGACACGCTACATATGGGTGCAACTCATAGGGAGGCTAGGGTTTGCGCAGGGCGTACTTGTTTAGCCGCTAACGCCGTTTCTGCTAATCGCGCTACTTTGCGACGCGATGAATCTTCATCAGCATAATCACTGCTCGAAACGAATCATCGTCCGAACGCGTAGGCGACTGCAAGGTGCAGGAAGGCAAAGGGCTTCCAAGATGCGAGTGCAGACCTGCGTTCAGACTACCGGTACACCCGTGCGATGTCGCTCGTTTATGTGCGTGTAGCAAACGAATGGGCAGTGTCTATAATGTACAATACAATGTAAAGAGAAAGATAACATCTTTGATAAAATTAGTATAGAAAGAAGTGAGGCAGTGAAAATGGTCTTTGTTCGTCCCTTTGAATATTCACGTCGTCTGCTAATGCGGACGCTGCTGTTGTTCCTTCTCCTGTTACATTGAGGGGAACTTTGAAAGAAAGAGAAGTTAATAGCGAGCTGCTTGTTTTTCAGTTAGCACACCGGAGAGGCTAGTGGCTGGCTGTACGGTGTTCTATAGATGGACGTTGTTTTGCGGAGTGGACGTATGTACGTTACAGCAATTGACAGTAAGGAACAAGGAGTAAAGGAGCTGGTGATCCGTAGACAACAACTAAAAGGGCGACGGATTGCCCATTCCGTCGCCTCGCTCCTCCTCGAAAAAATGAGTGAATATCGTATCTGGAATTAGCCGCTATTTCAGCCGTCATTGCGGCCACTACGCTGCGACAGCAGCAAGCTTCTATATAAACACAGTTCTAGGAACAAAAAACGAGAAGGAAAAACAAACAACAAGAGGGTAGGACAATTACTCCCGCTTCGACATTCTGATCAGTTCAGTCTTAGGTTACTCAGCAGTGGCTTATGGCTGGCAACCAGCAGCTTCATTGCCGCTTGCCTGCGTTTGTTCTGTAATGATAATCATACAATTTATTGGAAAAAAAAACGATGATTTGCCCTCCTCCCCAACACCGCTGCTAACGCACGACTAGTGCGTGCAAGAAAAGTACTGCAGCACGCCGCAGCAACACGAGTCGCTGGGCAATTTGACTCAACGTGGAGGGCATACCAATTCCAGCTCTGCTGTTTGTCTCCGGCAGACTGTTAGCTTTAGTCGGGTTCTTCTATCACAATCTGTCCAACTGGCCGGTCGGATTTCACCCGGCGTCGTCGTCGTCGTCAATTAGACTTCGCCCGCTAGAAACCGATCTTATTCGGTATTGCGCGATGATCATCGGGTATCAAGAAAGCGATCAGCGTAGCCGCTGGTCCAGCCGTGGACTGCATGATAGTCGCCATGTTAAAAACAAATAGAATAGTTGAATTTAGGTTGAAAAATCTACACCATATTACCTTCAGCAAGCATTCCGTAGCTATGACACGGGGCACTGTGATGCGTGGATCTATGCACATGTTGTTAGAAGTAATACTCCGAGAGCGATCCTGGGGAAGCGGAGCAAATCGTTGTGTACTTTCAATGCTAAGAAAGCGCGACCTAGTAAACGATTCGAAATGAAAAAAACACTCGGGTTGTCAAGCAACGGTTAACAAATCAAAACTGACCAAACACGGCGGCCGACACTCATTCTCTATATTGCACATTTATTTGCCAAATTTAGGATTTCGGGAGATTTTATACGGATTTTTACGAAAGTCGAATGATCTGTGCTTAAATATACCATTTATATCTGAAATAGGGGGTATCTGAGATAAGTATAGGACAAAATTGTTGAACTTTATGAGTCGCTTAGTATTTGTAGTAAATCGCATTTATAATCGCGTGTATCTAAGCATCAACGACAGGAAGAACACGACACAGAATGGAAGTACCGAATGATGGTACTAAGCAATGCAGTGGGCCATAATATTTTTTGATTTGTCAAAGTTGTCGCAAAAGTATCAACTTGTTCCATGCAAAGAATTTGTTCAGTGTTCTAGTTTACCTGTCTCTGGGTGCTGGTATGCTCCTCTGCTGTTCGTCCTTTCATGGCGTCGTGTGAGCTTTTTTGGGCCTGTGCTCGATTCTGCTGCAGTGGGTCTCATCGTTTTTCTTTCCCTTCGCCTCGTGTAGTTCACTGGCTTATTGCCCAGAGTCGTACGACATGCCCACAGAAACTTATCGACATCCGAAGTCTGTCAACGTTCCCATTATACTTTAGGCCTGAACTGGTGTCAATATCGTCATTAATTAGAACTCTATTCTACCGGAAAGCAGCCGGCAGGGCACCACGTTGGCTTATGCCTCAAGGACACTGATGTGTATGTATATACATGTATATATATATATATATATATGTATATAAGAGCATTCACTATGAAATGCGAAAAACATTAATTTCATTCTAAGTACTGATGCTACTAAATACCGGTGAGACATCTATCTTTATGTCCAAATGCGCATGTACTCTTTGAAATTTGTCACCGTCCATTCTGCTTTTTCAGTCGGGCTTTTTTATTAGGCGAGATGCTGTGAACCATCAAAAAAATTGGAAAATTCAAATCGTTTATGAATAGAAGCTCCGTCTTGTAACTCAGCGCTAGAGACAGTTTGTCGTATTGGATAAAGGTTGTACTAGTAAAAGCGCCGTAAGCAGTTGGTTGAGAAAAGGATTTGAGCTTAAAAATAAGTTCATGAGAGATTTCCTGCTAAAACGGGTAATGAAAGACTCATTTCAAAGTGCACAGGTTTAGTTTATGGAATATCGAATGAACAAGGCTTGTTTATTCGAGTCAAATTAATAAGATAAAAGATCAGATTTGAGAGAATTAGAAACAGAGATGTAAGGACACTTGTGTCTTAGTGGTCTCAAACAGCAACACTGAGTCATTCTTGCATCAAATTGTCACTTATAATGGAAAATTATCGCACATGGGTACATCAGTGAGTAAACGAGACGTTACCTCAAAGCAAATGTACAGCTGAAAAAATTATGATTAAATTGTGGCTAAATGAAGATGTTATCCACGACACCTTAATAGGTATATTGGTTTGTCGAATTTGGTTGAAATATAGTGTAAAAAATCCGAAAGTAACTTCGCAACATTAGTGAATAATAATAATAATAATGGACAACTTATTTTGCAGAACAACGCTCAGCTTTTGCAGCACGAATCACGGTGGAAAAAAATATATAAGTACAGTTGGAGGTCCTCTGTCATGTAGCATACTTTCTAGACATCGCTCCCACAGACTGCTATTTTTTTTTTATGATTTCCACAATTTTTTTTTTTGGAAAAATTATTGAAAGCTCAACATAGTATCGAAATTGCCTTTACACCCCAGACTTCAGCAAAATAAATAAGTTACCGTCCGAATGGCAAAAGATCACAGATAACAACGGTTGAAAATTTAAAAAAGACTATGCCTATGAAAAAGTTCTAGAAGTTAGTCTTTTATATAACGTTTCATACTGAACGTCTTATATATATATATATATATATGCCTATTTTACGAACTTTCATTCCGAGCGGGTAGCACTAACGGTGATTAGCAATGCTTATTATACTGGATGTCCGATTTGTGTGTTTGTAAATGCCCTAAAGAGTGACCTGCCTGTACGTATGCCGCAGGGACATGACCACGGTAACAAGTGGGTGATGTTTTCGTAAAATTCATGCTCATGTTCCAGGTGTAGACGAGTCGGTGAATAGTAAACGCGACTAAGCTAGCAGAAGCTTGTTGTATTTTACGATTTCGGTCAGTATTTTTTTTTTTTTTTATCTCTTGCTGCATCTGACAGTCCCATTCCGTATTCGCTATGGAAGTAGCACAATGTGGGGCGAATACGAGTGGGTCAGTAACAAAGCGAAGAGCGACCCGGCGTCTGCCATAGTTAACTATCACAGACAGCCTGGCTATGGCATTGGGTTAAATCAAACACCATCACCACTTGCTTGCAAATGTTATCAGTGATATGGATGACTTTTAGGACTTTTATTTGACCTTTAATTTAACCAGGGATCACAATGAGTTCGACTCAACGTTGTTTATAACAATCGATTTCTAACGGTCCACGATGGACGACTGGGTAGCCGCGCTAAGTGGCCGTCTATGCAACGCACACACAAATATATATATACATACATATATATTCATATAGTATACAAATAGAAACCTCAAAGTGGATAGGTCAATCCCGTTGATCGATAACGAACGACACTTATCTAATAATACGAACAAAACCAAACGCTATCGGATCGATGACGATTGGCAAATGCCATCGATAATTATTCGAGGTATCCTGATGCGTCAATGATCATGTGATCCCCGCAATTCATTTGGCTTGACGGTCGTATTGCGCGCTGACGCTATTGAATGATCTGCGCCGCTCGAACAAACAAAAGGCTTTGTATTAACTAGTTGCTGTTTCAGTGCGGCCAGCGTACTCATCTGGGTACCTCGAACCTTCTAGTCGTAGCGTACTGACAGTGAGGTAACGTTTTACCAAATTGCCCAGACCATCCAATGGGCCTTCCTCGCTACATCTACTATTGTTAAGTGACCACTTGTTGCTTCGTCAACTCCTATGCTCACTTGATTAACTAACTGATTTGAAATTTTCAAAATTTCTAGGTGTTATATATGCTGTACTATACAAAACATAGTTGCCCAGAAACAATTATTTCCTGGGCCTGACTGATTCATTTTTGTCCTTGACTGAGAGTACTGGTAATCGTTGTACGATATTGTAGGGTCGTATTAGTATCATCAAGTCACTGCCTATGACAACGTGGAAAGGTCAATGAACCTCAAATAGGTTTAGGTAAACGACGCTCATTTGTAAATTACTAATCATATGGCCAAGCTATCGGTCGTCTCGCAGTATGGCAGAGTCGATAACGCGCCAAATCGCCGCTGATGTTTAGGTGTATACCTCGTAATGCGCAGAGCACCAAAGTAAACGAAAAAAGCTAGACAAAATGATCCGTTGGGAAAAAAACGCTGGAACGCAGTATCAGAAAACACTGATCTAAAATATTAAAAATCGCCATTACCAAAAAAGCCAGCTTTTACATTGGGTAAACACTTGTGCGCCCGAATACAGCGCAGACTTATGACTGTAAAGATGCTAATGATGGAAGAAGGGGTGGAGTAATCTGTGCAATCGTCATCACCGAAAATCCGCCAAAAATAACTCAGTCGACTAAAATCCTTCGCTGGTCGTGGTGGAAATGTGTAATAGTTTTAATGGACGCATCAGTCAGGAAACAGATGTAGCGACATTTCTTCCTGAGCTACGTTAAACTGGTAATACATCGATCTGTGCACTTTCTTGTCCTATGTGCTATTGCCAAGGGGAAGCTATGTTTTACGATTGTACAAAAACTTTGGATTATAGATGAATAAGGTGTGAATAGCTCGTAATTATTAAATTGCCATGCCAGAATTGCATTAATTAGATAAGTATCTATTTACTATTCAGATAGTGGACAGGGTAAGAGGGTAACCCGTTCTGGATGTAGCTGCGCTCGACTGGTTGATTTCTCTAGTCTAGAACTGGTGTTCTGGCGTCTTGTACGGACATCGGCATTTGCTAGAAGACCAGATGCCCAGTTTACGTTATGAGCAATTATGGGCAGCATATGGCATATTTACTGATGGAGCTATCGAGCTTGTTGTGCATTGTGGAATTACAGCAACACGCAATCTAGCCAATCATCAATTTTTTTTGCAAACGTAAATAAGACTCGTGTACTAGCCGGGCCACATCTTTTGGCGGGCTCTGTGAAGAAAAATATTTCACTTGTATCATCGATCAATAAGGTCTGCTATTAGATCATCGATTTCTCATTAATAATAAGATATAAGCCGTGTGCCCGAATCTAGACATTCGCGCGAAGTGTTTTCAAGTAGATATTTGCCGCAAGAGAGCATATCTTGAGACTAAGGAAAGGACGAGGTAATATAAGCAGGAAACGTGCGCGAAATAAAAGTCGTTTGGCCCCAGGAGCGAGCGCGTTCACCTTACGATTTTCATTGGGGCGTCTAGAAAAACTTTCTAGCCGGAAATTGTAAGATACTGCAATCATTGGACACTGTGTAGGGCATCGTTGAAGACAGAGTGCAAGATTCCGTAGAATCCAGATGACCCGAATATCTCTCACTCTGTCTTGCCTTCCCTTTCCAAACATCCACAGCCATGTTAAGCAGAAGAACAGGTGGAGCTTGCTGCTTGAACATATTAGCAGAAGTAGCCAGGTGCGTGGTTTCCATCAAACCTGCTTCCTCCACTATCAATGCTATCAGCATGACGATTACTGGCTGAGGTCGGTTGGCTGTCTCGGACTCTGAGTAACTCAAACCAATGAAACCCGGGCAAGACGAAGTACTACTTGGACGTTGTGCTTTTATCAACAGAAGTTCAAGAGGACAACATGCAGACACAATAACTCCAGCGGACTAGATGCGTACAGACAGCCAGGCCAATTCTGTTCTGTCGCCTGCATATATATATATATTGTAGTTAGCTGGTTCACTACGGAAGTCTGTTGCCGTCGACAAGCTAAGGCCACTGGTAACACTAAGGGACAGTGATGTTTACTCGACCGGGAAGCTGCGAAGATAATTAATTACTCGCGGTAATTACTAGACTATGGCGAGAGTTGATGCGACAACGACGCCCACCATCGAAGAGCAAGCGAGAGATCGAAACAACAGCAATAGACAAACAGGGAAGAGGCGGGGGGGAAGGATAGTGAAATAGAAAGACACAGGACAAACGAGCTTAGAAGCACATCACCGGGGACAAGGAAAGGAGGAGATAAACGGTTCCCTTTTGATATACACTTTCTTGTTTGCCGTTGCGGTTTGGTACTTCGCTGACTTTATTATGCTGTGCGCTTCCTTCCTATCGCATTTGTCCTCTTTGTTCGCCTTCGCAGTACTGTGTAGGTATAAGGCCATTTTTTGTCGATGATAAATTTTATATAGTACTTATTCCTGTTGTGTGCGATCGTGCAATAATAATAATAATACGTGAGCGGTGATGGCAGTAGCAATTAACAAGGTCAAGCAGCCATATTCAGGCAGCGAGGTAGTCAAGCTTGAGCAACGTAGGTTCCGCACAATATAGTATAATATGATAGAGAGTTACTCGCATCAGAAGGCTACGCTTTGCCATCGACCCCTTAGATAGAACAGTAGCAATAGCGGAAGGCTGGAGGTG